CACCTGCCCCAGGCTGGATTCTCTAAAGAAATATACCTGTAGAGCCTATTCACACTAGTCCATCCACTGCATTTTAGTGGATGGGTTAATTTTGGCAGCTCTAGCAGTCTGTGTTGTATGATATCCCACACTGACGGAGCTGTTACTATTTAAATTTTTTTCACTTTATTGGTAGTGTACAATGCCAATGCAGTGACCTGCAGTGGCATCCAGTGATGTAAACAAGGCACATAGAAAACAGTGGTTTTCTATGTGTCCTAGCAGTGACCTGTGTCAATATGGTTTGTTAAAATGCGATTAACCACTGTATGTGTGAACAGGACCTGAATATTTCTCTGTTTACCAGCTGCTTTCTGTATTGCTCAACGAATTAGCTGCTTTGAAGTGCTGCATAAAGGTGTGAGTGAGAGTTACCCATAAGGCTCAAAGATATATTAGTCTCCTGCATTCAACACAGAATAAATTATCTGGGAATCAGGGCCATCCCTCAGGTGGCATCTCATTGGATCACGTGGGTGTGCCTGCTGCCCCCTTTCTCTGGCTAGAGAGTCCCAGGTTGCTAAGAGCTCTTAGCAAATTGTGACACTCTGTCCAGCATCCCGCCCGGCTCACTGACATCACTGGTTGCGAGGAGCTGAGCAGGACACTCTGACTGGTATCCTGCCCAGCTCCTGGCAACCACCGACATCAGTGGGCTCGGCAGGATGCCTGACAGAGCCGGAGCCAGAGATATGGAGCATCAAACCCTCCCCGGACCGCACATCACCAGCACTGACCCCCCCACCCCCACCCCCCCCCTGAAAAGTGTAGGGGCACCCCTGCTGGAAAGTATAAACAGCTTTCATGCTTTCCAGATCACTTTTGCTTAGATGTTCCTGTGTGAACACAGCTAGACTCAATGAACCTAAATGCTGCTAAACATCTAAGGGGTCTATTCACGAAGCTGCCGAGGGCAGCCGAGTGAATGACCGATCTGAAGTGAAGTGAGCCGAACACTGTTCGGCTATTCACTTCAGGCTGGTATGGCTAATTTCAGCCGTACATCGGCTGAAATCAGCCGCACATCGGTTTGCTTCGTGTGGCTTCGTAAAAAGGACACATCAGTCCCAGGAGTCTCCCGCTCCCGGCCGCCAGGGAGAGTTAGCTGTTTGGAGATCAGTGCCCCCTGGTTAGCAGGTAACCAGGGACGCTGATCTCACTGCAAGTGGCCGGAGCCAGCCGTAAGAACACGGCTGGCTCCGCCCAGCTGTCAGAAGCAGGCTGTCGGCCAGCTTCGGCTTTCAGCACGGCTCAGCCGAGCAGATGCATATGTGTTCGGCTTGGCCGAGCCGCTCGGCCATGATCGGGAGCTGTACGGGCTATTGTGACTAGCCCGTACAGCACCCCTTCGGTTTTACTGAACCGAAGGGGTCCTGGGGCCGAAGCTAGACGTAGAATCGGCCGAAGCTACGGCCAGATCCTTCGGCAGCTGCGTGAATAGACCCCTAAGTGTGCACTTAGATAGCAAAACATTACATACTTTTGGGTGCATTTAGAAATTAGCTCCAAATGCACCTGGAATCATGTATTTAATTCCTGTGCGTATGGGTCCTACTAGGGTTGCCTAGAGCTATAGGTGAGGTTTGCGGTTGTTATAGAATTGAACAATTCTGGAGTGATGTGGACAGCCACTTATACTGGACTGAGACCAGTTTGAGAAAATAAAACAATCAGTCTGTTGCAGACCCAAGGAAACATTTCCTTGGTCTCCTGTCCCCCAGGGATCACTAACTATAATATTGTAAGGTGAGAGGCAGAAGCAGGTGGCTCATTTGGAAGACCTGTTTATGCCCAGATATGAACAGAAAGGATGCTGCACAGTCACCAGGATTAAAATGATTGTCAATATGCTGCTGACCATGCCTTGAACCAAACAAAGATGGTGGTAGCCCAAAGGAAGAAAGTGCATCTATGTGAAATGTAAATCAGACTTACCTGACAAAACACATTATTTTGCCTTACTACTTACCAAGTTACTAACCTGCAATAACTATGCCTTTCCGAGATTTTGACTTTAATGGTCCCACATCTTGCATCTTTAAAATGATCCAGTCAGGGGGTCAGCAAAATCACGAAAAGTAATAACCTGTAAATAAAAAAGCTTTATACATAGTTTTCTTTTGGCCCGTCTGCAAAAACTTTACTCTGTAGCAAGGCTCCCAGCGCTGATCTGATTTGGCTCCTCGGGCCCGTTGAATAGTGGGTCCACCAACTGGACACAATGGTTCCTCCTGCTGACCCCCAGTCACTGCCTGACACAATAGTGATATAGAGATCATTGAGAGGAAACACAGTCTAGAGGGGTACACAATGTTCCACACACCAACGCTACAGCATGAGGTATTAGCAAAAGCGCCAATGACAAATATGTGTAAAGTTCTTTGCTTCACTGGTTAATTGCTTTGTGATTTTGTTCCTTCCCCGTAAGGCAATGGTAGCTCTCCTTTTTCTATCTGAAAAAGTAATCTTCAAATACATAAAACTTCACTCCGTTGAATGATGTAAGGCTCATTCATTAAACACATGGTAACCATAGTCATCACCAATATACTGTGTGTAAAATAACCTGTAAATACTCTCCCCAAGCTGCTTTCACACAGCCCTATGTAATATGTGCAGGAAACAGTTCCCAGAGGTACTAATGAGGGATTTAGTATACACTGGACTACGTGGTTCCAAACAGATCATTGTGTAAATCTCACAGGCACCACAAGTAAGGCACATCTCTCCCCGGAGAAGACAATGGCGCACTTACAATGTACAATACACCCTGTCATGTCACTGGGTGTTGTGTCACATAACTGTAAATACCACGGGGGGGTTTCCTCAATGTGGTAATCCGAGTGCCATTTCCCCTGCAAGGGAGGTGTTTGCTGTATTTTAACACGAGCGGAAGATGTTAGACATGTTTTAAAAAGTGTGAACGTTTGCAAGTGTTTTGCTTTTCATAGATTGCGGTACAGAACCCGTTACACTGTAACAAGATCGTGTCAAATAGCTCCACATATTTTTGCTGGGTTACTATAAAAATATAATATACATTCCACTTTAAAAAAAGACACTTCATATTCCAAATTTCTGTTAATGGATTAGATGTTCCTAGCTCATTTCTGAGAATTATTTGTGGCCTTCTGTATGACTTAAAGAGTAACTGATCTCTGGAAGCTGTGCCTAAAATAGGCAAACAGAGGACAAAGAAGCAGTCACCAATATTGCTTGCAGCTAAAATTTTCCCAAATCCCTACTTACCATGCCTTGTTCTATTATGTCTTTGTATGAAGACGGCCATCTTGTTAGAGGCAGGGCTTTGCTTCCTCATTGTCAGAGTCTCTGACACAAAGAACAATAAGCAGCACAGTAGTGACACCAATAAATCTCACTCCAAATCTCTTACAACTAGCAGTCAGAGGAAGCAGTGTCTGAGATCCCGTGCTACAGATATACAGCTATGAGTCTGTAGGTACAGGATGCCTAGGTACCCTCACACACCAGGAACTGCATTGCTTTTTTATAGGAGGAATTCCAGGCAAAAAGTAAATCTTTCATGGTAGTACTTAGGCACAATTAACTCTTCTAGCTGTTCCCTATAACATAGCAAATATTCACTTGTTGAGTTCAGTTCCACTTTAAAAGCCATATAGGCACCCTTGAAAAGGAGGGTAGTTTTCTGACTATGGTGTATGATGGGCTACAAATACAGTTTATTTAATAAAGACATAGAAATAACAATTGAGATATGAAAAATACAATAACTCATGGCAACCAGCTAGATTTAATCTGTAGTCAGTTTAGAATAGACAGAACAGTGAAAGACTAAAGTAGCACTAAACCCAATCACTAAATCATCATATCATATCCTTTAGCATGTTAATGTAAGTTCAGAAGTATTTTTTTAAATCTACAACCCTTTGTTAAAGTAATACCTGGATACCCTGCCTCGTTCAGGCATGTCTTATGATGTGACAATGCTCTGTCCGTGTCTCCCAACTGCTCTCCTGTGTTGTCACCCTGTCACATGTGCTTTCATTGGAGAATACGAGTGGCCAACATTTTGCAGGTATGATGACAACCATCAGGAAGCCCACCATAAGCAATGATGAACAGCTGCTGATGAAGTGAATTTGTGTAGACAGGAAGTGGCTAGAAGGGGAATGGGGGAAAACAAACAACATTTCTTTGCAACAAAAGGATAAGAAAAGGGAAAAACTGGATTTTCTTTTACAAGGAAAATATGATGGTTGTTGTTTTTTTTATGATGCATATTGCTCTAGCCAACTGAATGCCATTCAGTTAGGGGTTTATATCTACTTTAATCTTATTTTCTATGGATTGCTGGTTATAGTAAGTAATTGTTTTGCACCTGGTGATGTTTGTAAGGAGATTGTATCTTCCATAATCCCTCACAGGATTCAGATACATTGAGGTCTTCCAGTGACACAGCTGGGATTGAATTTTCCACAGTCCACAGTATCTCAGTCTCTGCTCAGGTCTTCCACAGCAGGGATTGGTAGATAACTGGAGACAATAGGTCTGACACAAGAAATATTAATACAATTTGAAACATCCCACCCTGTGATTAATTTCCACCCATTCCAAAATGTATAATATAATGTTATATGTACTGGTCATCTGAGAAATATAGGATGAAAGTACCCCTTGCCTGACTTCTAGGTTGCATACTGGTTCTGGGACAGTCACTTCTCTCACAAGTGAACAGGTGCTTCAATGACCTTCAATTACACGGCTAAGTCAGACAATGGCAGCATCCAGCTGAGGCCCCTCAGACATCTGTTTAATTTAACAACAAATTGTTTTAAGTCTTTTGTATATTTTTGCTGTATAAACAGTCGGCATTATCAATGTTTATAAATATACAAAAGTAATTGAATGGCTTTTTTTTGTTAATGTCATTAATTACTATAATTACATTTGTACTTTCCATTTTTCTTTCAGCCTGTCAGCCAGGGTTTTACAAGGCAGTTACTGGGAATCTTAAATGTGCCAAATGCCCCCCACACAGCTTCACTCAGGAAGAGGGCTCCACATATTGTTTCTGTGAGAAGAATTATTACCGTGCTGATAAAGACCCTCCGTCTATGGCTTGTACAAGTAAGCATGACAGTAAAAGTTATAATACTGCATCACTGTGTACATAAATGTGTTTGTTATTTAATTTTTTTTTGGTCTTATATTGTTAAACTATTTATTGTGCATTATTTGGATGCTTACTGTTTGAAACCCTGATATTTGAAGCCAAGACAGCTCCCATATAAGCAGATTCTCTGTCACCAGCACATGGCAGAAGACTTTCATAAAGTTTCAGAGTCTAAGGAGAACCTGATGTTCACTAGAGCTCCTGATGGTAGAGACTGGTTTATCCGCTGGGCAGCTCAAAAGCTGTTTCCCTTGAAAACTGCTTTGTGACAAGACATATCAGTCTGATAGGTCCACTATAAGTCAAGTTCAATCGAAAAGGTCAGGGAAGGCAGGGGGCAAGCATAAATGGAGACTCTGGCAGGTTGGGCAGGTGGTTCAGTAATCAGAATCCATGCCAAGTTGTAAACAGGGGCAGCAGATTAGGGTTATTCACAAAAGGGTGAAGAGTTTGGAGAAGGCAGGAGAAGGGAACATTTTTAGGACAACATAGCTGATTTGGAAAAATTCTCCAATTCAGCTCACTTTCCAGTTCGGCTATGTTGTCCTAGATTGTTCATTTCTCCCAACTCTTCACCCTATTGTGAATAACCCTATCAATGTTGTAAACAAGAGATGAGATGAGTTTAATCAGGAACAAGAAAACGTGAGCAGATATCAGAGTCAAACCTAATAATCATAGTAACTGAATGGTGAACTGCAGGGTAGCATCTACATAGTCCAATGGAGTAACAAACATGATCGTTTAGGCATCAAGCAAAATTTAAGCATAGCACTTTACTGCAGGTAGATATATGCTGAACCATGGCCATGCAGAAGTGCAAAACATCTGACCACAGTGGGTACAGGCATTATCTAAGAAAATCATGACCATCCAAACCAGGAAGACGGTGAGAGCAGGTGGTGAGGTGTTACGTTTTTAGCTGACTACGGGAGATAAGCAGCCACCAGCATTCATCTGCCATGGGTGTTCTTAAAACCAACTTGGAACCAACTCATTTTTTAATAACCCATGTGCCTTTTTGGTGAGTTAGTGTAGTGTTGAAAGCTGTAGTATTGTTAAAGAAATTAATAATCTTGATTAGGGCCCCTAAACAACTGGCTCTTCCTCTGCAGTTTGATATTGCACATATGTTAACATGTTGTTTTCCATACAATAAATGGCTTTGCTTTAATGCGGCCCATTCATTTTGAATGGACTGACAAAACACAGTACGGCAACAAAAACTGGACCTGTACCTTTTTTCATTGCAGTGTACCACAACACACAGCATGTGCAGGCTTGTTGGCATGTCTTGTATGTCGGAGTGCCAATCAAAATGAATGTCACCACAATGTATCACAAGGAGTGTATTGTGGTGTGTGGCAGTGCAGCTCCATTGGCCCCCACTGTGACACTAGAATGCACCTCACAGATTGCAGTCCATTATTGTAAAGTGCAGTACTGCAATGCAAAGGTGTGTAGCTAGAGGGTTTGCTTTTATTTGCTTTAAGGTGATGGGCTTGCTTTAAGAAGAAAGTGAAAAACCCAGAGACACCAGTGTGGTGAGGGTTGATTAGTTGTGTTCTCTGTAAACATGCAATATCATTTGTTCTATCATTAACAAGATCAAAATAATTGTTTATATAGCTAATGTAATAGAAATTTGTACCAAAGGTTAACCGAGGACCACACCGACTGTAACACAATGTTTGAATGAAAATGACACCCATACAGGCTGGAACAAGTATTGTATGGATTAGGATAATATTCAAGAACAATCTTCAATATACCTACCAACCTTTTTAATAAAAAAAAACAATCACAGGGGTACCCCAGTCAACACTATTTTTCTAGTTTTGTATAGTGTGAGGAAGAAATGTAACCTTTGTAGGATTTTGTTGCCCATGTCATTGATGGGCAATTTTACCCTGGTCTGTGGCGACACACACAGCTTATTAGCACACACAAGGGTGCCTCCATAGTACCCTGCTGAGGAAAGAAGGCACCTAAAAATAGGATATTAGGGCCAGTGCTAAGGGGACCAGCTGATTCTGCAGAAAGATAAAACTTTTAAGCATCAAGGAGCAGCATCCATTGTGAGTGATTTAATTAGCATTTAAAATAGCTTAAAAACCTTTTGAGTTTAATATCACTTTAAAGTAAAAACTGCAATAATAACTGAAAATGTGTGTTCACAGAGAATGTACTTTCCCATTAACTGATATCTTTGTTCTTGCTCATAGGACCACCTTCTGCACCAAGAAACCTTATTTCTAACATTAATGAAACATCTGTTATACTGGACTGGAGCTGGCCGCTGGACACCGGGGGTCGTAAAGACATCACTTTCAACGTGCTCTGTAAAAAATGTGGAGGAAACACAAAATTTTGTGAAGCCTGCAGGGGGAATCTGCGATTTATTCCCCGCCAGTTAGGTCTTACCAACACCACTGCGACAATAACAGACTTACTGGCACACACCAACTACACTTTTGAGATTGAATCAGTGAATGGGGTCTCTGACCAGAGTGTACTGTCAAGACACATTGCCGCTGTCAGCATTACAACCAACCAAGCTGGTGAGTAGGATGCTTCCACTCCACTGCAAGTTAAAGTATATGTATCCTCGGTCACTAAAATCTCATATAAGTTGTAACATGTTAATATAATTTCAAAGTAATTTTCAATATGTTTTATTCTGAGGCTTTCATTAAAAAATACTTTGTGATCCTGCCATGAAAGTCCTTGTTCAGGTATTTTCTAATATAGGGACTCATCGCTCTGTACAAGTCTCCTAATTGTGCAACCTGCTTTCTCTCCCTGTCATTTTGGCTTCTAAAGGAGATTACAAGAGACTGTTTCAACTCAAATTACACAGGCATAGTCAACTGTTGTCTTTATCAGGAAATTCACCCTGAGAAGTGCGATGCAACCATCACTGAAGTGCAGCATGTAGGTAGGAAGATGCTACAAAGAGGCTCTGGGAGATCAGCACCACTGAGCAGCAACAAAGGATCAAACAAAATCTGAAAACTACTGGGTTAAAAAAAAAGCTGAAAAGGCAATTATTTATGTTACACAGTGCTTGCTTATTATTAGTATGATACAGGATGTGTATAGCACCAACAGTTTGCACAGCGCTTTACAATATAAGGAAGACATTACAGATTACAATACAAGTCATGACAAGTGGGTTAGGACTAGGAGGGCCTTGCCCTTGAGAACTTACAATCTAAAAGATAGTCCCTTTCCTCCAAAGCAGCCTCTATGTTTAACAGGCTGAATGTTTTTATTAGGCATAGATGAATGAGGTTGTATGGGGTGATCATTTGGATGGTTGTTTTTGAAAAATGGTTCAAAACTGTAGAAGATATAAGTGTGCTGAAATACAGGGGTGCCATAAGAACTCTGCCATACCTGATTGGCAGCATTTAGTTGAGGTAGGGGAGAGTTCATAGGTCAACCACTCCAGGCTAGAAAAGAAGGAAGGAATGCTGGTGGAGCCTGATGCCAACCACTCTCGTGGTGAGAGAAGGATGTGATTCTGCAGGTATGTTTCGGCAGGACAAAGCATTGTGAAAGAGAGACTTTGTGAAAAAATCAGTTATAGGCGCCCTGTTTAGAAGAGAGACTTAGGGGTCTATTCACAAAGCTGCCGAAGGATCTAGTCGTAGCTTCGGCTGATCCTTCGGCTAGCTTCGACCCTAGGACCCCCTCGGTTCAGCACAGCTCCCGAAGTTGGCCCAGGTGAAAGCTAAAGCTAGCCGAACGGCCGGCCATTGGTCGGCCGACAGCCTGCTACTAACTGCTGGGCGGAGCCAGCCGTCATCTGAT